CAGGAGCGCCCTTACCTGAGCCCCTCCCCTTGAAGTGTTAGAGGAGAAATGATTGAAGAATAGTTATTCCATCCCATGGAAAGTTCTTGAGTTTTCTGAAGTCTTTCTGTATCTTTTGTAGGAACAAAATACAAAGCAGCCCCTTTCAAGTGCCTCTGTGAAAGAGAGACGCGTTGACATGCCTAGTTTGAGATCAAAGTCCTCAGGTATCCAGTTGGAAGGTTTCATTTTGGTCACAAGCAAAACACTCTTGAAACGTTCATGTTCTTCTGAGATATTTCATCTTTGATGTAGTGGGTTATTTGGCTAAATACCACTTTGAAAATGTTGAGAGTAGGTCTGTGGTTTTGGTGCCAATGTGCTGGGATGGGAGGAACTTAAGTGGGGAGAGCTGATAGATGAAGAACTACCAGGAAAGACCTGGAAAAGGAACATGAACATATAATAAGGTGTTAGGTCTGTGCAGGATCTAGCCTCCTTAAATTGAGACTTAGGAGCCCAAAGCCTAAGGCTCAGGCTGTCTGATTCTTGCACTGCAAGGTATCTCTATTCTGTGGCTGAAAATTTCCCGGGTGCTTGGTGAACTTGCCAGTGTCCCGCTGAGGGGTCTAAAGCACAGGGGATTTTTTCATGTCAGTGTGTAAAATGAACACTGAGGTCAGGTATTTATTACAGCCCTTTATTACAAATCTGTTTCTATATTCTTCAGCCTCCAGCATCAGTGGTTGTAAGATGAGGCTTTTTGTATGCTGCTGCCTTGCAAACATGCTGACGTGTCTTCATAATTGCAGCTGACGTGATATGCAGTGCAAGTGAGACCTCATCCTGCTGCAAGTGCAGGGTGTGGAAAGCAGTGATGGCTTTAAAAGGTACCTGTATTTGTGTAGATTACATTATTTTTGTGTTATACTAATATATGGACTTGAGAGAGTACAGTCTTGTGGAAATGGAGGCATAAATCAAATTAATCATGGAATCATAGAGTAGTTTGTGCTGGAAGGGACCTTGAGGATCATCTACTAGATCAGGTTACTCACAGCCCCATCCAGCCTGTCTCGAATACCTCCTGGGACAGGGAGTCTACAAACTCTCTGGGCAACCTGTCCCAGTGCTTCACCACCACCCTCACAGCCAAGAATTTTCTTAATACCTTTTCTAACCTGCCCTCTTTCAGTTTCAGGCCATTCCCCCTTATCCTATCATACTTGTTCTTATGAAAAATCCTTCTCCAACATTCTTGCAAGTCCCTTTCAGGTACTGTCTCTCCTCCAGACTCAGCAACCTCTGCTCTATCAGCCTGTCTTCACAGGAGTTAAATGCTGGACAGGAGAATTTTCTTATTCTGAACGAGTGCAATTACAATAGCTGTTCAGTATTATGGAAAAGGAAAAAAAAAAAAGAGGGTCAAAGCTGGTAAGGTTTGGAAATTCATGGCTTTGTTCCAGGTATGATAATCTATATAGCAAAACATCTCTCTGTGAATCACATTTTCAGGCTCTGATGATAACAGAAAATCAGGAATCCAGAAATAAGCTCATTGAAGATTTTGCACCACACACACATACAAATGGAGCATCTGGATGTCAATGTCACTGTCTATGGTGCATCCTTCCCCATAGAGACTAAGAAGATTTAATTTTCATCACATGAAGAGTCAGATATAAAAGCTCCATTACTCTTGAAGGTTCATATATAGAAAACTAGGAAATAAAAAAAACCAAAACAATTGCTTTTCAAAAGAATTACACATAGAAATGGAATTTGTGGGTCCCGTACATTTTCACAAGATCTTTCAGTTTTGTCCAGGAGTTTGTCTTAGACAGATGGCTTGGTGCCAAAGTTAGTGGCAAGTATTTATGGCACTCAGTTAACTCGGTTCCAGCTCTACCCTGTGTTACATCTTTGGCTGGGTGGTGGGTTCTGCACCCTGCTCCTCATCTGTGAAGCAGTGCCATGTGTCCTTTCCCTCCGAGAGCGTAAACTCCTCTGCTCTGGTGATGTCTTTTATGATGAGTACAGAGGATGCAAATCTTGTTTAGTGCCTCTGAGCTTCCACAGTATGCAATTATCAATGTTAATGTCTCCAAATTGAGGAAGTGATTGGATCTAGCAGACTGCTTTGTTGTTTGTTTGTTGTGTAATTATCAGCATTCATTACAAACAGGTATGTCTAATTTTTCCAGCTCTCAGCAAGCTGACTACAATGATGGTATTATGGGTTGGGTTAAACTGACTGGAACTGGTGAGTGAAATGGCTGCCCTTCTGTTATGAATAAATGCAACAATCACAAGCTAGGCAGATTAAAAAAAAAAAAAAAGAAAGAAAGAAAAAAGGACTTGTTCAGTATGTGAGCTCTGGATTTGAGCTGCTCACAGAGGAGTTGAAAGCATGGAGCTTTGGTGGGATTTCCCAGGGTATTGTTTAACCATGTGCACACAGAGCTCTGCAGTGAGCAAACAGCAGGTGAGAGAGAGTGACAGAACAGTAAAATTGGAAATATGGTCTAAGAGAATATATGCAAGAGAGAAGGCATTTGAGCAGCGTCATTAAAAACCAAAAGCAAGGAACGAAGAGTCACCTGCTGTGTGCAGAGACACAGGGCTCTGGCCAGCCCACAGGAGTACATGGGACTGTATCAAAGAGCATGTCCTTGGCTGAAGTGCTCCAGCAGTTATATTTCATCAGAAAAAAATATTCATGCTCCAGCACACTGCTGTGTATCCTCTCTGTGGTGCAGATGGGAGGCTGAAGCTACACTGATGCTGTGCCTGACAAACTCCATGCAATTTTATAATCAGTCAGGAGCAAAACCTAGACAGGAAACCTTTTGTGAAAAATGAAATCCTTTCATACCTGGACATATCTAGGGGTGATAATGTTTGGCAGGGAGAAATATCATTATTCAAGAGAATACCTTGCCATCTCTCCTGTATTTTCCCTGCTTTAGCGCAGGTGCTACAGCTTGCCAAGGACACACGACGCTCTCACAAGAACCGTGTTCTCAGGGGTAATCACCTGGATCCAGAGCAGCCCATACCCCTTGGACAGGGCCAGTTTGGAGCCAAATCCCAGTGTCTGCGTGGTGGGAGGCGGTGGGAGGCCCCGGGGAGGCAGGCAGGGCAATGAGCCGTGTGTCTGGAGCCGGTGTGTGTGGGAGCGGGAGGGAGCGGGTGCATTGCCCGGGGGACCGAGGAGGGCTCGGAGGCGAGGCTGCTGCTCGGTGCGGCCACAGTGGCTCCTTTGTTCCCCGCGCTGGGAGGAGCCGCTCGGTGCGGAGGATGCCCTGCGCAGGGAGGGCTGCCAGGTGCAGCCAGCGCCGACACGGGCCCTCAGTGAGGGACAGAGAGAAGAACGTCAGCTCTTTAGAAGCAAATTCACCGAGAAAATGTGCAAAAAGAGGCGCTGGCACCGTTTGGAAAACCAAGCCCAGGTTTCGCTTGATCTCAATAGTAGGAGAAAGCAGAAGGTGTTTATTCTTCATTCATACACGGAGGGTGGCTTGGCTGGGGGGAGGTAAAGCAGGCTCTGTGCGAGTTTATATAGGTTACTGTGCCAAGAAATTACGAGGTGTGGCAGGAGGGCCGTTTGGAGAGGTGTGTGGGTCCTGACCTTAATAAAGGCAGATGTTACTTGTGTGCCATGACAGGCAATTCCTCCATGCCCTTAATTTTGCAGCTCAGGGTACGATAAAGCTCAGATGGCTGCAGTATTGTCTTGGACTGCACAGCAAGGCAATTTTTGTTGCACAGTTATTCGGCAGAAATGGGTTAAAGCACTCCGTGCGTAGTAGACACCGGTCCTGACATTTGCACCCACCAAAGAAATAACCTCTTGTTCACACACTTCTTAAGTTTGATACAGGAAAACAACACCACAAGTATGGATTGTTCATGCAGGTCAAGGTCTGAACTGCAGGAAATAACGCTGGATTTTGAAATTGCCACTGGTGATGCAGAGCAGCCATCCAAAACCACAAATGAGAACGGATTTCAAAGTTTTCTTGGCTGCAAACAGAATAAATAAATAGTGGACAGTGTGAGGAAGTGTTTGGTGTTGGACTGACTTTGGCCCTACTAATGTTTGCTTGATTGCTGCAGGCAGTTTGAAAATTGTATCCTAAGCACAGGGCAGATTGACAGGGAGAAGAAAGCCTCATTTCTTCCTATATAAATGTTACCAAGGTTGTATCAAGGACGCTGAGACTGTTGTTTGACTGTTAGAAAATATGCAAAGGGGTATTTCCCCTGTGAGTTTTATCCCTCCCTTTATTTGTTTCTACATGCCATTAGTGCCATGGCTGTATCAGGGTGTTGCAAATTCCTCCCCGTTTAACCACAGCCCGTGTTTCGAAGGCTGGTGCTCTGGGGCCAGTTTCTGATCTCTGGTGTGATGAAGGAAATTCGAGAAGGATTTACTGTACACCACCCAGGGTTTACTCCTGCACAAGCAAAAGGAAGAGTGGGAGGCAGATGGGCAGAGGCTGCCAAAGAAAGAGTTAAGGGGGAGCAACAGTTACAAAAAAAAAAAGCAACAAAACAAAGAGTAGGAATAAAACATACAGCAATACTACAGTTTATGCATAGTGTTTTGTTTAAGTCTCTTGATGATGTTTCGTGGTTGCTTCCTCCTGTTCTTATTTTTAAGTCTATTATCATAAGAGCAGGTCATGTAAGGTTTTCAGGTCTCTCTGATACAGGCGCCGCTTATAAAGTTGACTGAATATTCTGCCCTGTGCTTCTGTATATTTTGCTTCTCTGCACACACTTTGCTCTGAGAATAGTAGTTAAAATTCCAGTGGGCTGCCCTCCCATTAAAATACCTTTAATGTTTTATTGGGATACCTCCTACTTGAAATGGTTTAACACATAAAGGTGCTTTGCTCATTTGAGAAAAAAAAAAAAAAAAAAAAAACTATACTGCTGATGCAGAGGCAAGATTGTTTGGGTGGCTCTCCTGTCGATTGCTCTTTATGCAAATGGAGCCTTGGGAACGGGCAGATTAACGTGTTTCAGGGCAGGAGGGAAATGCAAATGTTGAATCTACTTGCCTGGGAGTGCTCTGCTGCAAGAAGGGAAACAAGCTCTCCTGCACATTGCTGACTGCTCTCTTTCTGTCTGAAAGTTCAGTGAGTGTCCTGGAAAATAATTACTCATTTAAAGCAAGGAAAGTCCAGTGTGCCTGCTTCTGAGCACTCTGCTTTCTTTAGGAAGGGTTGAACCACTGCCTGGCTGAGGATGAAGAGTGGAAGAAAAATAAAACTGGAAAAGGTGGTGTCAACTGAAAAACAACAAAGAGAGCAGGTAAAATCTGAATGTAAAAAATAAAAAATTGTAAACCCATGCAGGTTAATTCTCTGGAATTACTAGCACAGGGTTTTCTATGACTGAAAACATGGATAGATGCTGGTTGAAAAGGGCATTTTCTAAGCCAGTCTAAGGAAAAAGAAATCTGCACTTTGAGAAAGGGAGAAGAAACTAAACCATCTAAGCTGAGAGCAGAGAAAAGCAGAATTCAGCTCCAAAGATTTTGATTAAAGCTTTTTCTGAGAATCAGCCTTGTCTGGGTTTTCTCAGCCCTTATTTAAACACACTTGGTTGCTGTCCACAGAAATCTTTTCTCTAAGTGTTCCTTTTGTTTTCTTTGTCTTGTTTTTTGTTTGTCTGTTTTGGTTTGATTTATTTTATTATTATTATTTATCAAAACCTATTTATCAATAGGCTTTGATAAATAATAAATGCAAAAAACCACTTTGTGCATTCAAACTGCTGTGTAGATGTAATTTTGCTGCCAGTGTGCAACTGCTGCCACAACCGTGGTGGGACATTTGGCTTCCTGCCCTGAGTCTGGTCTCCTCCAGCCTCTTGCCAGGACTTCAGACACAGAGCTGGGATTTTTCTGTGGGGCAGTGGGACATGTTTGTCCTCACCAGTGTCCTCCTCAAAAGGCAGCAGAACATGCTTCATTAATTGCTGAACATTTGATTCCCCCTTTGATTCTCAGAGGGAATCAAAGACCCTGGAACCCACCTGAAATCTCTGAAAGAACTGGAAGATTTTTGGGGGTGGAATAGAGTTATCTCCAGCTCTGCTCCCTGCAGGACTCTCAGCAAAGGCCTGATTCAGCAGCAGAATTCACTCTCCAATAGTGTCTGTTTGTGCTCCTTGGAGATGCCTGCAAGGGGTTGACTGAGCAGACTCCTGCTTTTCATGCCAGCATTTCAGTACGACAAAAGAGGGAATGGCACCTGGGGGGGTCCGAGTATAATCCCAGCACATGGGTGTGTGTAGAAAGCCGTGTTGTAGCTACCAGTAACCATGGCACAGATTTTCTCCTTGCCACCCTTACACAGCATTTTCTTTGTCACTGAATTAGTTTCCAAACAACTCGCTGTTATCGCGGTTGTCAGTGCACCCACGGAGTGCAGCAGAAAATTATGGGAGGCTTAAAGGAAGGCTGAGACACCACAGGTATTGCAAGGAGCTAATGGGACTTTCTTCATTCCTTCAAAGAAAATCTTTTTACAGCCCCATTGAAATGGCTAAGCCCTTTTACTCAGCCTCTCTGCAAGGAGCAAGATGTTGACAACATCTCTTCAGAATGTATTATCCCAAACGATGCCTGTAAACCAGGCCTCTGCCACTGCTATTTTGACATGTCTGTGTAATAAGTATCATTCCAGCTATATAATTGAAATATTATTGCTGCTTCACTCAGTTAACAGCCTGCTGCAAAACTGAAGTAAACTTTCAAGCCCTGTGCTGTGGTACAGACCTACTATGCCTTTCTAATTTAATCAAAATATCTGGAAAACTGTCAGCATCCGAAGAACAAAATGCCATTTGCTATTGTGCAACAACTCTTACTGGAATCTCCTGGACTACTACTAAAAGAGAGCAGATATTCAGCTCTTCCATTTGTCCTCCCTCTCATCTGTCCAGAGGAGGACAGTCCATTTACTCCACTGATTGAATTAAGGACTGAAAATTCAATTTGAGAAGAAGAGCAGAGCTGAAGATTTATTTTGATATGCAAAAGTCTGGGGGTTTACATTTTGGTTTTGGTTTGTTTTTTTGTTTTTTTGTTTTTTTTTCCATATGGATGAGGAGGGTACTCTGAGGGTGGCTACTTGGAGCTAGATCTGTCAGAATATGTACTGTCCATCACCCAGGCTGGAGAACTGATAAGGTGGACAGGGAATGTGAAGGCTTGAGTGTTGCAAAAGGGGGTGAAAGTAATTGTGCCAAGAATGAACAGGCCATCATTCCTAAGAAGCATAAAGAGGTTTCTACATTTTCTCCAAAGCACTACCCAGAAAAGTAAATGGAAAAATTAAGAGGGAAGGGAATACTCAGTGCCCATTTTCTACTTGAATTAAATTTTCATTCGCAAAAAATGGGAGAGGAGAAAAAATTTATGAAAGTATGACATAGCATGTTAGTTGCATCAGAAATAATGAGTGATCAGATCTGAGCTGTTGAGGAATGTTAAAGGCAAATGTTGTTAGCAAAGCACCAAAGAAAGTGTCTATAACCCATATTTTGGAGGCCTTGCTGAACAGTATTGCACAGGCTATTCAATACAACCTAATTTTCTCATTAGGGGAGTCTCAGGTGAAAGTATGAAAACATCCTGGAACTAAAATGAAAATATCCTTCCTTCCTTCCTTCCCAGCCTCCAGATTTCAAAGAGATCCATTTTTTTCATAATTAAGATCTGAAGACATCAAACCATGTCTGTAAGCTCATTGTAATCATATAATACTGAAAATAATTCTAAGCCAGCTGTAAAGAGGAAGAAGAGATGCAGGTACCTGAGACAGGTGGACACACCAGTCAGTCTGCTGTTTTGGTGGCATGGCTCAGGATTTCTCTGTTAGGAATTTACAAGCAAACTTGGCTGTCAATTTAAAACTAAACTGAATGAAGCTGCTGCATGTGAAAATGGCCAAAAAAGCATATTCTGAAAGGTGGGAATAAAAAACTACCATTAAAATTTTGAGGAATAATTTGCTTGGGATTTGTTGTCGTAGTTGTAGCTGATTTGTTTGGTTGGTTTTATACTAGTATTAAATAAGAAAGCATGAGCAACAATTTATTTTTATTCTACTCCTTAGAAGTCTGTTTGCCCTGGCAATCTTCTATTTACCTGAAAGCCCAGCCTGAGCAAGACTCTGCACAGAAGATGGTTACAAAAAGGACTCCAAAGGTGGCAGTATCCTTTAGGCAGCAGGGAGAAAAGGTAATGCTGACACCTTTTTTGCACCAGGCTCATATATCAGTGATCAGGGAAGCCTGGGACAGTGTTTCTTATTAGGTTTCTGTAATATGATGCACACGCAGATAAGTAAGCCACTCTTTTTTCCTTTTTTTTTTTTTTTTTTTTTTTTTTTTTTTTTTTTGTGCCTACAGCTCTTCTGAGAAAAGGAGAGGGAAATCTAGGAGAGTCTGGTGGGATTTCTGTCCTTTTTTAGGGCCAGGGGCTAGGAATATCAGACTCTAATGGGAGCCAGTGACCAGGAGCAGTCAGAGGTACTTGTGTAAGCAGATGTCTCTGCCAAGATCTACTTACTGATAGAATTCAGCCTTCTGCATGTCTTGGAAACAAGGATTAGAGGATTAGGGACATGATGCTGGAGGCAAGCGTGGAGTTCAGATAGAGATGTGTAGATTTTCTGAAGGAAAGGGAAGAGCAGCTCCATAGGCTGCTCAAAATTTGCTCCCCAAAAAGCCACCTAGAGCATGAACTGTTTAATGAGGAGGGTGACCATCCAAAAAAGAAGAATTTACCGTTTAATGGTCTTGAAATTTCAAGATCAAGATTGATCTTGAAACGCAGACAATCACTAAAACAGACAAAAAAAGGAGTTGGTGATGGAGGAGGGAAGACAGGATGCTGTTGAAGACGTAATTCCCATCCAAGATCCAACATTATGCTGAATTTGTGAAGAGAAAATATCACTGACAAATGACATGAGTGCTCAGCAATCTCAGTGACAAAGGACAGCTTGACTGAGAAAAAGGGAGATTTCTGTGGGGTTATAGGGAGCTGCAGCCCCCAACATAAAAGCCAGAGGAGCAGTAAAATCTGAGATGGTCTTTGAACTAGAGGGTTCAGAGGAGGACCATAAAGATGATCAGGAGGCTCTGATCTGAAGACAACCTGAGAGACATGGGGTTCTTCATCCCGGAGTAAAAAGGCTCCTGTTAGCTCTTGCAGCAGCTTTCCAGCACTTAAAGGGGCCTGAAAGAAATCTGGGGACAGAACTGTTCAAGCTGAGGTTGGACAGGGTTTTGAGCAACATGGTCTAATGGAAGAGGGCCCTGTGCATGGCAGCAGGTTTGCAATTAGATGATATTTATGGTCCATTCCAACTCAAACCATTCTATGAAGATGAAATTTTAGAGGTGAAAACATAAGCAAAAATCTCAGCCAATGGAACATGAGAATTTTCACAGCCTTCTTCTTCACCTGGGCCACTTCAATGGTTCAGATGTTCATGGCTGACCCAAAAGAGGAAAGAATTTTCCCTATTGAAACAGGGAAGAGTGAGTGTGTGTGTTTATTTGTGTACATAAGAATTTTCATGCATAGAAACTCTTCTTGGGTTGAGAATTTTGGTGCCTCAATAATGGGATCATATCCTGGAGACAATGAAAGAGGCAGCATGGTTTGATAAAGCTTGTGATGTGGTGTGATGTGGTGTGCAGGTTTCAGGTGTGGGCGCTGGGCGGGTGAGAGGATCCCTGCTGACCAGGAGATGTTGTAACAATGAAGAGCTGGTAGAATTCAAGAGCTCTGTATTTTGTGACGTGCTGAGCATCATTCTTGTGCTATATACACAGCAGTGCTCTCTGCTGTCCTCCTTCCTGGAACACTCTACCATGGGAAGTCAGCAAGCACTATGGCTTTTAGTTCTGTAGATTAAAAGTCCATCTGTTATTGCAGTTTAGGGATCACTTTCATTTTGGGTCTTCTCTGAACGCTGTTCCACGGATGTGATCACTTCTTAAAATTGTGGGCTCTTATCCTTTTGTAAGAGAAGCAACTCTCCTCTCCTTTGACACACTCCTGCTGCCTTAGGGGGTTCTGTTGGTGCTGCCCAAAAATGCTATTGCTGCCCAGAAATGTGCTTGAAAACATCTAGAAGATTTTCTCACTCATAAATAACAGGTTTGTTAGGGTAACTTCTTCCTTACGCCACTAAAACACAAGCTTGAAGTGTTCAGTCCTAACAACACTGATGTCAAATTTGTGTTCAATTACATGTGAGTCTCCGCTGACTCTTCTTCATTTCCACCTTTCCTCTGCTATCCCAGGGAACAAGAGAATGAGAAAGAAGTGGAGTAACTTGGGTAAGGCAAAACCAAGGGTAATGCAAAACCTTTGTACATTTACTTGGCTTCTGCCAACTGTGTCCCTGTTCCTCAGATCTAGCTCTGCCTCCCTGCATTATGTTAAAAAAGGGTTAAAAACTGCTTCTGTTCTGGAGTCACTGTTTAGGGCATCCCAGGAATGCTGGATCTCATTTATATTTGTACCACACCTGGCCTCAATTCGGTCATGGTCTGGTTAAAGCTGTAGATGGTACACGATAGACGCAGCTGCTGGGGCGTGATACCCACACAGCGTGTTCCTGTCCTTGGAGACAGCGTGGAAATGAAGGAAGTTATCCCTTCCCATAGTGCACCATCATGTTTCCCTGATGTCAAATATTTCCATTTGGAAAATGCCACCTTGCAATTGAAATGAGACCTTAATTTAGAAAAATACTGGTTTGCAAGTTAGCCGTGGGCAACCACGGGGCAAAAGTAGCTGTGAAAGTGGTACCACTTTCTATTTGACTGCAGATCCTGTGTATGTGCTGGAGCTCTGCTCCCAGGAGGCCCCACACCCACCACCCTTGATTATTTTGGGATGTGGTGAGGGAAGGCTGAAGGCTGGTGAGAGCTCACTGAACACACAGGGACTCTCTCCTCCCTCCAGCTGGTGCCTGGCATTGCATTCCCACAACAAAATTTTTAATTAGAAACCTTTTGCCTCAGGAGTCAGTACATCATGTAGAGCTAAACTTCCTGGCCTCAGTGAAGTTTCACTTTCTTCCCTAATTATTTGTTATTTTCTTTCTGCAAGCAGGTGCTAGAAACACTCCCTTCTCATGTGTCCAAATTGTGCCTCATCAGCATGGGTGAGTGAGATGCCTGTAAGGCACTGCCGAGTGCTCTGCTGCCTTTTACAGTGGTAGCTGGACTGGTGAAACTTGTGGGAGTGTAGGGGAGGCTTTCTGTACCTGCCATTGTACGATACAGAACATTCTTCTTAGATTAAACATTTACTGGAGAAAAGTTGTTCTACTGTTGCAGGAACCAATACACCTGCTTCACTTAGCAAAGTGCAGTCTGGACAGGCCCTGCCAAATGCCATTCCTTGTCAGGAACCAGGAGCCACACAAGCGTGGTGAAGCCCTTGGAAATCTGCACACGAGCACACCTCCACAGCTCTTCCACAGGGATTTGATCTGGTTTTTGCTGTTGGCTTTACTGCAGTGGCAAAGTGCAGGGATTCCTCTGGCATGAAGATCTAATTAGACAGAAATGTAGAAAAATCATGAACAAAACCTTTTTTGTTGTCTGACAATCCAAAGTGTGCTGTACAATTAAGAGATATTTAGAAAGTCCTAGACGGAAAGGATGAAGGATGGAAATGATGAAGGGTGGAGATCACTGTCACATTTGCCATCTGTATTTCAGGCCACACCACATGGGAAAAAATCTAGGAAAAAATTCTGGACTTTGAATATTTAATTTCTTTGCTTCAGCTAGGAAATTTTCAGGTATCAGCTTTTCACATATGCAAAAACAATGATACACACTGATATTTGAACCTTATGCTACTTGTTGCTTTTTTTTTAAACCCAGTGCTCATGAGGACTAACTGCAACTCATATTGGACTATTAACTCATAAATAAGTAGAGTTGCACATTTGAGTATTACCAGGCATTGCCATTCACACAAAAACTGCAGCTGATTGAGAGCTCTCCTTTCCCAAACAATAAAACTACTTTGTATAATAAAGCAGGAAAAAATTTCTTTTTTTTTCTTTTGTTAAAACTCCAAAAGAGGAAATTAGAGACTTTGACATCACCTCATTTATAGACATACAGAGGTTTCTGGCAGTTTAGTAACTGATGTAATGTTTATTCTTTCAATAAACTATTTTTAAATTGGCTGTTAGGCCATACTTGTAATTCACGTGAATACCAGGAAAACCAGCACGGCTGCAGCGCCTCTGTGGTGCCACGAGGTACTGAACTGTGCTTACAGCAGTGCACAGCTCACACGAGTGCTTCACACTGTGCTTGTGCACTGAGCAACACAGGCAGGAGAAGCGACATGACAACTTTCAGATCACTGCAGGGCTTAAACTTGGAGCGATCGGCAGCTTTACCTGCTGAAACCTGTGAATGCTGGTTATGTACTCCTGAGAGGTATCAGAGCAGCCTCCCTGGATCGCTGTGCTGATGGCAATGGCTCACTCTGCCACTGTTCTGAGCACAGACCTGTTGTTCTGCTTTCCAAGGCCTTCTCACAGCTTCAGCTGTTTGTACATTGTAAAGGTGGAAGAGCTAAACCAGGCAGGTTCTCAGCAAGGCACACTAATACTAAATAGAAGTGACATTTTTTTACCAGAAAATAAATTGTTTTAGGAGAACTCCAAGTATTTTGGAAAATATGTGAATATTTTCCTCCAGAATAGTCCACCCACTCAGAGAAATCCTTGTCTCTGTGCTGTTGTTTTCAGCTGATGCTCCCACTTCTCTTCTAAACATCTCTGGTCACTCCTTGCCATCCAAGGGAATGTTTGTGACCCAGCAGTTCCTCATGCTCCAGTTCCCACAGCACAGTGGTGGTGCCAAGATCCAGCTGCAACAGGAGTGTGCCCTATCTGCAGGCTTTTTCCCTGCAGGTTTATTTTCATGTGTAGGGGTAAGCCCTGTTTTTCCTCTGCAGAAGAGAAGAACCTGTGTGTGGGCTGCTGCATGTGTCACAGCAGAGCAGCTGGCAGGTGGTAACTTGTTTATCTGCAAGAAAGAGAGCTGCTCCTGAGCTTTCCCTGCTACCCCAGCTGCTCCTGAGCTGGGGTTTGCCTGTAGAAACAGGGTGAGAGTCAGAACTGAGAGAACTGGAGGCTGTCAGGGAAGAGAAGGGGAGTGGGCAAGGGTGAATGAGGGCTGTGGTTGTGCACTTGGGACATGCAGGGCTGTGAGGATTTGTGGGACAGATAAAGGGGGGGTGGGGGTGGAAAAGTTATGTATTGATTTGGGTAAACCAGTCTGGAGAGACTAAAGGGGAACAGAGGACAGGCAGACTCACTATTCTACAAAATAATTTCCAGCCCTGACCTGAACTGCTCCTACATCTCCTCTGTGCTTGGAAGAAACCTCGAACCACACCATGACTGCTTCCCAGTCTCTTGCACCCATCCCTATAGCTGTGTGGTCACCACTGCCAGGCAAGGGGAGACTACAGAAGTCACCATGGCCCTTGGGCTGCCCCTCTTGCCTGTTTCACACTCAAATGTGGAGATGAGCTGGTGCCTTCATGTTCTCCTGGGGATGGACACATGCTTCTACTTCAGCTTTGGCAGCCCATTGCAGTGGGAGTTTCCCAGCGTACAAGATTTATCCTTGCCACCCCCTGCCCTGTTTGTTTGGAGTCAGGAATAAGATCTCAACTGTATTTCTGAGGCCTTTATCAGAGAATAATGTTTTTCTCACTGCTGGCAGGGCTGGAAAATTATAGTTGCCACTGTAGTCAGGAGGGGTTTGGAGATACTCAGAGCCACTCTAGATGGACCCAGAGGTGTGGGATGCCTAACTGGGGAGTCTGAAAGTCAGACATCTGAAATCGAGCTGGTCACCCTAGTCACTTATTTATACATAAGATAAAGCTCTCATTTCACATGTTTTCCTCTGGCACAGAAGACCCAGGTGGTTCAGCTGTTAAGTGATTTATACTGCAGCCACCAGTGAGTCAAAGTCTTCCAGAGATGATGAGTTTGGCAAAATTTACTTTTGATCTTTCGTCAGACTGATAAACTGCCTTTGCAGGGAAGGCTGACCTCAGGAGTGCTCAGGAGTGCATGGCATTAAAATCCTTCTGCTATTTATTGCCCTGCTGACTGATGGCAGAGAAAACACATGGTGATTTCTGCTTTGGTTTCCTCAGTTGCACAACACCCTACTAGTTCTTTAGGATTACAGTAGCTGAGTTCTTTGATGTTGCAACTTGAGGCTATTGTAGGTTTGGTTTACTCTATGGTTTTAACTCTTCTGGAAGGCTCCATGCAGATTACAAGAGCAGGATTACTTCAGGAACCCTTCTCTCTGATGAGAAAATGTGCTCAGCAGGCCCTGCCTCTTCAGGCAGAAGACAATAGGTTTGCTCGGCAGTATCTGAATGTTTATCAGGTATTCTAAATTCATTAAATGAAATGGAATGGGGCTTTTAGCAGTATTATTAGCAAGATGACTATAATTTAAGAGAGTAGGAGAGTGCTTCATTTCCTACCTTTAGTAATAAACTGAAAATAAAACGTAAATGTCAAGTGGTAATGTAGCAGTGTGCTTAGCAACCAGATGATCAAATGTTAGGAAAATGCCAACAGCAGTAAGTCAGAGCTGCCTGCTTGTGTATTTGTGTGCAAGTAAATAATCTTCCCTCAGCTAGGGCCTAAGTGTTGGGAAAGGTTATTTTGCTCCCATGTTTGTTACCAGTCCTTACTCATAAGAATTTTTGTTGATTTTTTTTTCCTGTTTAATCAGTCTCCCTAGGGCATTACACAATTTTTGTTGCTTTTCACGGAACTATCTGTATTTTATCAACATCTTTTTGAAAATAAGCTACCAGTTCTTACTGTGGCATCTGCTCTCATGTGAACAGTAATTATTACTCCTCTCCCTGGAACAGCCACATTTTATAAAGCAAAGAGATTTTTTTTTTCTTTCCTTCCAGCCATTTCAAGCAGCCTGCAAACACCAAAGGACTGAGCTACCCTGCCAGAAAGCTCTTCCTGTGGCATCACGTGTAAGTTTTATCCATTAACGTACAGCTAGATGTGGTGCTAGGAAGCCATAAACATCTATGGGCATCACAAGTGAAAAAGGGCCCCAAATTGTTTCCCAGACAGCATAGAGATTTCTGGAAAACCTACTCCAAATGTAACCCAGGTAGAGTGCCTGCTGCTGCACTGCTTCCCAGTGTAACCCTTACTGCTTTGAAGGGTGGATAGGCTGAAAGACAGGGTAAATATGCTGCCCTGTTTAGGTCTTTGTAACTTTTGGATGGATTAAACCATGCTCAGCACGTTCTGCCTCGCCCTGCCCCTCCTCCTGTATTGACTTCCTTCATGTGGGGTAGGAGAGCTTTTGTTCACCTGGGAGCCATAACCCTGGCCCCCCCTGCCCTGCCTGCCTTGGAGCTCAGCCCATGCACTGCCTGCCTCCTTCCTGCTTCAGCCCTCTTCCTCCCAAGAAAGGCCAGGTGTATCAGCACTCTTTCATGCTGTTCTGCATCACCAAAATAAAAGCCAGCGGTCTCACTGACTTCACTGAGCACACGAATTCCTGTTATTTTGGGGGGGGGGGGGCTATTTTATTTCTTTTATTTAGAAGGAGATACATGATTGACTACGGTGTCCTCTGTGCTATCTTTACATCCAGTTGGTTTCAAGTGAAGGTTTGTGTCATGAAAGTACAGGTATTGTCTGTCAACCCAAAAGGAAGCCTGAAACCATGAGTACCAAACACTTTTTCAGTCTTTCATCTCCCCTGCGCCTGTGATGAGGGCTGGATTTTTTGGTAATGACTAGATCTAGGCAGGAGTTTGATTATTCCTCTTATGAGAAATTCCCAGGGTTCCCAAACATGCTATTTGTTACTAAATTGTCTAGAATAAAAGAAAAAATATTTTTTCTGTGAAAGAAATTGAAAGAAACCAAAAAGGAAACAAAAATGAAACTGTTCTGATTTTAATGGTTGTCTTGAAAGTTTTGAATATACAAATTTTAAAAGCCTGGAAAAGTTTTACAAATCCTTTTGTAAATGCAAGAGCATATTCTAAAAACACAAAAGGAGCAGATGCTACTTCTAAAGACAGTGTTTACATTCCAACTTTCTCTCAAAACAAAGCTGGCTTTCCTTTTAAAGAGCATTTCCCTAAGAAAAATCTCTTGCAAAGTAAGAAGTTGATGCTTGGTAACTCACTTTTTCCATCTGTGTTTTGGTTTGCTTAGCTCCCCTAAAGCACTCTTGAGGTGTAAAATCAGCTGGAAATATCTTGCACATGGACTACTATGTGGCATACCTGGACTTACTTTTCTGAGTGCCGTGAAGCCACAAGTAGGGATTTTGTAAATAGATTTTTTTGGTAGTTGAAGGCTGCTGGCACAGGTGGCTGCAGGCTGTGGAAATGCTGCACTTGTGGCATGGGCAGCAACAGCCCTCTTGGCATGATCCTCAGTGGAGACAGTTTTGGCTTGCTTGCTAGAAACCAGAGAGGGAGTGGTTTTTAATGAATGTAAATACTAAAAATATCAGACCTTTAGAGAAAAAGTAGTCTATGATATGTAATTGTCTTTTTCCATGGAGTTAATGAAGGGAGAATAACTGCGGCCACCTGTCTTAGGTTGCAATGCAAGATGTAACCAAAAGTATGTATTCTATTATCATCTGTTAAAACTAGGCAGTGCTGTGTTCTTAATCTCTTCCATGACCCATCCCTCATAACTCCAGGGATATCTTCTGTTAATGGGCCAGCTCTTAAAACCAGTGCTCTTTATCTCTTCCAGGACCCATTCCCCCTCCAGGGGGATCTCTTCTTCTAATGGGCCATTGAGTCTCACTGCATGACTGATAAAATTACATCATCCCATTGGGAGATGCTCCACCCAGGGGGAGGAGCCAAGCATTCCTACCTGGATATAATCTGAGGCTTAGAACACCACAGTCAGCCTTTCTCTACTGGATTCCCAGAGGAAGACTGGATCCATTTACACCACCACTGGACCTCCAGAGGAAAACTACACCCTTCTACAGGATCATTGCTTCAACAGAACCACATCTGTCACTGCAGGAGCACTGCAGCCACCATTTAATTGACTGCTACCAACACTCTGACCAACAGGGTGTCAAATTATATTCTGATACTGTCAGTGGGTTTATTTTTTTAGGGTTTTTTTTTATTATTTTTTTTTGTTTGCTTTGGTTTTCTTTTTTCATAGTACTACATTTTAATTTTAATTTCAATTTCCTTAGTGAAAAACTGTTATTCTTATTCCCATATCCTTGCATAAGAGGACCTTGATTTCAAGATTATAATATTTTGGGGTGGGGGTGGTGGGGTGGTGGTTTAGATTCTTATTTATTTCAAAGGAAGTTTTTGCCTTCCTTAGCAGACATGTGTCTTTTCAAACCAAGACACCACCTTATTCTGCTGTTACTATTGTTTAATAGCATATCACCAGCAGCAGCAGACTGTGGTGAAATGCTCATTTCCTGCATTGACTTCCATTTAAATATTTTGTATCCAGATAATGACCAGTTCTAGTTACAGTGATCTGAATATTGCAAATATAGCTAACTAGCTGAATCATGAACTATTTGATGAAAAGATCTGCTGGCAGCACATAGAAACTCCTCTCAAGTGCAACTACAAATCATCATTGGGATATCCTTTGGGGTATCCTGCTGGTGACCAGAGCAGTGTACACACAGTTCTGTGTGAAGCTGAGGTGTTCTGCTGCCCCAGGTTAAGTGAATTTTTGGCCCTGTCATTGTGGATCCAATCTGGTCAGAGCTATAACGAAGCAATTCCCTCACCTGCACAAGCCTGCCCTGGGCACAGGACTGGCTGCACAGCCCAGGTGGGGTTATTCTGTGTCATTCATGTGTTAACTACCAGGGGGCACAAATCATGGCACAGTCTCCAATTTGTTTGGAGAACTTGGATTCAGGGAGGAAAAGTGAGCAGAAGAGAAAGCTTGGAAACTTTGTCCAGACACTGCAGCTGGGAGGAGGTTAAAGCATCAAAATATCTGGACCACTGATAAAGGAGAAATTCCTGGGAACCTGAATATCACTGCTTTCTGCAACATTGTGAGTTATTTTTGCTGGCATTTTTGCTGTTAATGCAACTTGTGCTCAATTAATAGTTAATTAATGTGAGTAAAACTGCAGTAGGGAAAAATATAATAATGAATCTGCTTGCTCTTTCCACTCCCAACAAAAAAATAATGCAAGCCATTAGTTTCTCCTTGATGATTTGAAAGCCCAAATAGTGCATTTGTATATCCTTTGTGTGCTTGTGTGTATTAAATTACAAAATTTGTATACAAGGTGGGTGTTGATGAAATAGAATTTTAAGGATTCATGACTAATTTTGTATTTTTTCCCCAAATATCTGTGGCTTTGATTATTTTCCTTTTGGATGTAGGAAGAAATTTTTTAGGAATTAGGATCAGCATCAGAGTCTGGGGAACTTTTCTTAACGTACTTGCCAGCTCACATTTCACAGCTCTGGTTTTTTGTGTATTTGTTTGGGTTTTTTCAGAAGATTTAAGGTGAATACTGCTGATACTGACTTCTGAGTGGCAATGAACGAGTTCATTGCAGATTTTTTCTCTCATTAATTTTAGCCAGTAATATTTTTGCCAAGATCTCTCTTCACTGCTCTCTAAATTGCAATTACTCTTCCGAATGGGAATAAATGTTGCCTATACAAATTCTCCTGTACGGTTTTATGTAGACTTAATTTAACATATTGATCTCATCTCACTTGAGGCTAGAAGTAGAGCATCTCTCATGTTCTCACATTTTAAAATTAGTTCTGCCAGATTCGCTGTGATTAATTTTTCAAGAGAATTTAACTTTCAGAAATAAGGGAACTATCAGAGGGTTCGCCTTAATGAAGCTGTTTCCATTCTGCTCTTCCATGACTGATAGGTTTTATCTTAACTACTAAAACAAAAATGTTGTGATGAAAAAAGAACTTTAGAGAGAAATAATCTCTTAAGATATTCAGTGCACCAGAATTAGCAGAATCTTCTCTGGGAGGCTGAACATGTGAGTATATACATATCATAACTTTTCAGAGGGTTTTTTGTCTTACCGCTATGTTTTGCACAGAACACTTAAACCATCATTTAATCGGCTTGATATACTTTCTTAAGAAGATTAATAGATTCACAAAATTCCTAAGAGGATTTAGATACATTACTAATCACAGAGCTAGGAGACTGGCAGTAGTTAGTTTTAAAAAACCCAATTAAGCTATTTGATGAGACTGCAAGCACAGTTCTGTAGAGTTCACTATTTTTGTGTGTGTCTGCTCTTCACAGAGGTTTTCACAGAAAACATTTTCTGTGTGCCTTGTACATGGGCTGCATCTAGGATGTGAAGTCCAAAGTCTGCCCCTCTGGAGTTTTTAATGGGATGGGGTACATATGGTGAGTGCTGTCCATCCAGGACCAGTGATGGGCAATTCACAGTAAGGGCCCACAGTGAGTTACAGATTTGTTTTTTTCAATCTGTGTGGTCAACTTTTCTGGGGGAGGAAAAAATAACATCAAATAGAAAAGCTGTACAGTTATATGTAAAAAAATGTTGCTCTCTTCTGTTGGTTCCTTTGGTTGGACTGGTGCATCCAGCCAGTCTAGAGTGCAACAGTAATGGACTCCTCTGCTGGCACACACCTCAAAGGCAGACAGGCTCACAGAGAAGAAAGAGAGGTTTCAGGATTAGAGCTGAAGGCATTTCTAGAGCCAATGGCTTAAAAAGAAGTGGATTCTTCTACAGAAGATGAAATGTTTATCTAACTGCAAAAAGCTTTTGCATTCACCTACTCTGATCTTTCAGTTACCATCAACTCTGGACCTTCCTTAACTCCCATTTTAGTCAACATATTGCAGCTCAGTATTTTTTAGAAAACTTTAAATTACAGAAAAGCTACTGGAAAATCTGACAGCCTACTTCAGTATTTGACAGCACATAAAATTAAAACTTTTTATACTTGTATTTTTTCCACCCTTGTGTTCCTGCCTGTTACACAGAATGGCTGTGTACCTCTTGTTCTGTATGGTTGGTATTCACAGTTAAATATACATCATAGAGATGTAGTGAGCTGGGACTTGATAAAGATGCAAAACACTGGATATGGATATCTGTGTTTAAAGTATATTTTCCAGTTCTTTGGTTGTGTCAACCTCTATCAGCCTCTACCACACTTGCAGGCATTAGCACTCACAACCCATTAAAAACACAGAGGCAAAATGCCATTTTTGAAACTGCCCCATACTCCCATTGTTCACTGTGGGATTGTGCTTTCTCTTTCAGCTGGTTTCATCAGGACCCAGCTCATCTGATCATCCCCAGTGATACCCAGTTCCTTATCAGAGCTGCTCTTTCCTGGAAGAGAGGCTTTCAGGCTAGGAGTCTGGCATGCATGCTTTGTTTCTAGATGTTACAAGTTATATTATCTTAATATTTGTATTTTATCCTCTCTACCCTTCTGCCCTGTCACCCAATTGCTCACTTTCTCTGTTCTTAGGTCACTTGCATACCTGGTACTCAGTATCAGTTTTTATACCTCCATTTCACCATTGAAAATTTTGCAGATTTAATGTCTCCATGAACCTGTTAGAAATCCACCCCTTCAATTATGGTATCTTGTTTATAGAACCTGTGCTTGTAATTTTCAACCTGGTATTCAGTGTTGACTCTTTTTTCCTCCAGTTCTTTTACTATATTAAAATACCTGATATATACCTGAAGTTAATATATCAGTGCTATTAATTTAACAACCAAACTTGTAATATACCAAAAAGATCATCAAATTTATTTGGTAAAATTGATTTTCCCTAAATCTCTATTACTGGCATTACTTATCTCTTATATCCTAATAACTGTCTCTCCTGTCAGGTTAGCAGTTATATTGTTTTGGATTGTTGCCCAACTGATGCAGTAATTTATTTATTTTAACTTTCTTTGGTAAGTCTTGGCACAATATTAGGACTCTTTCCAAACTTTCTGACTTCTCTAATATTCAGTGAGCTATTGATAACTGACATATTGACTGATTTGTACAATTCCTTTACTGATACTTTTTAATACTAGGTTATATTACTTCAGGATCAATTTTAAAAAAAAATACTTAGTTTTGTTTACACTTAATTTAGGTTTTGTTTAGAAGGATATTTATTATCCTTCTCAGTTACAGATGAAATAAAAAGATTCTTACTAGCCTCTGGTTTAATAGTACCATCTTGCTTATCCTTTTTTTTTTTAATTGAAACTCAGCAAGGAGCTTTTGTACTCTTAACTTCCTAAATAAAAGATACAAAACTATTTTAAAACCAAGTTAAGAAATGGAGTCGTAAATTGAAGTTATTTGGCTAGAAGACAGAAACAGACTATTTGTATAAACCCATAGAGGGATAATGAGTGTCCAAAAGTCCTGTACTTTCAAAGTAATTTAGTAGAAATCTGCTTGTATATCCTTAAAAAGAGACTTAAACGTAGCCTTTTATGTCAGAAAGATCCTCATCGTGTTGGTGGAAATACAAGACAACCCACTTGCTTCACAACAAATGTGGATTAAGGCAAAGAGGTTCTTTGCTGTGAGATACCGTTCCCAATGAGAGAGAGAGAGAGAAAAGTACCAGCAGGAGGCAAGGCTGGAAGAGTTTGCACTTGAGTTTAGAAACTTCAGTGTTTCCTGCCTGTAAGGGAAAGGACTCCTGGAGAACCTACCCAGCACTGATGGGCAGGAATGAGAGGTGATCGGGAAATACTCCAACCTCATGGTTGGCTTCCCGCTGAGGGGAGGTGACTTGAGCAACCAGGTTTGAAAGGGAAGGTGAATAATGGTATTGCAAGTACCAAGAAGCCCTCAGGGTGCATTGCAGCCTGCAGTTCTTTGGATCAGCAGGGTAGGAACTGTGCTACTGCCACGTATCCATTGTGATAAACACACAAAAATGAAATCATGCAGCACCTGCAGGGGAGTAATGTCA